AGAGAGAGAGAGAGAGGAGGAACGAGGAGAAAGGATGAGAAGAGAGAGAGATGAGAGAGAGATGAGAAGAGAGAGAGAGAGAGAGAGAAGAGGTGAGGAGAGGGAGGGAGAGATGGGAGAAGGAGGAGAAGAGGAGAGAGAGAGAGTGACTGAGGAGAGACTGGAGAGGAGAGAGAGAGAGAATGAGAGGATGAGAGAAGAGAGAGAGGACATGAAAAAGAAAAAAAAAAAATCTTCCTATCAAGCACATAAAAAAGCAGCCAGCTAAAAACGTAATCCTGACGCCATTACGCACAAACGAAACACACACACACACACACACACACACACACACACACACACACACACACACACACACACACACAAAACACACGAGACAAGACATATGAACTTTGCGAATAACATGACACGCCCAGTCATCTAAGCCACAATAATTCAGCAGCATATGATAGCATTTCAGAGCAAACAACGGAGCACATAAAAGGCGTCCGCTGCATGTCGACAGCATATTCATGTTTGGTTACTCTCGCTCGGCAAATGTGCTAAACAAACGTGCAAATATCTAGCAAGTTGGAGACACTTTGTTCCCTTATTCAGTGTTTCTTTGTATTGGCGGATTAATTATTTACTCGATTACTTTCTCAGTCTTTCTCCTATCTTGTTATCTCAGTCCTTCTCCTTTCTGCAGCACTGCTACTCAGGTTTAATCAAAATGAATCAAGTATGGTGGAAGACAACAAATGAATTCAAACATGGCTATAAAATTAACACTATATATATATATATATATATATATATTATATATATATATATATATATATATATATATATATATATATACCATATATATATACATATCACCTATCTATCTATCTATCTATCTATCTATCTATCTATCTATAAAAGCCATTGCAAATCAGTCGTTTTACTCGGTAGCGTCGCATCTTTTTGAGAGCGAATATGGGCAGGAGAGACTACGAAAAAGCGAAGGTTCTGTTGTTTCAACGTTTACACAGTTGCAATTTCGCTTACGGCTTCTAGCACTTTCCTCTTAACTTCTAGTTTCCAAGTTTGCTTCTGCGCGTGTTGTTAGTGTACTGAATCAGCCGTTTCACTTAGATAAGCTTAGGGCTAAACAAGTTGTTCTAAGGAGACAGAGTGAGAGAGAGAAAGAAAAGAGAGAGAGAGAGAGAGAGAGAGAGAGAGAGAGAGAGAGAGAGGAGGAGAGAGAGAGAGAGAGAGAGAGAGAAAGAGGAGAGAAGAGAAAGAAAGACATGGAAAGAGAAAGCGAAAGAGTTAGAGAAAGTGAGGGTGAATATGAAAGGAAAGAGGAGAGTGAAGTTATATAAGTGAGCTACCAATGTTGACAAAAGCTACACAGTATTTTCCACACAATCAGTTACTCTGACATTTTCATGGCTACGTAACCTCAGGTATCAGGATTCGATGACAACGGCAAAGTGGGAAATATTATTGGCCAGTCAGTCAGGGACGCGAATATTGGCGAGAATAACGACTTGCTGAACTTCACGCTTGTTACAATGAGGATGAAGTTGTCTATTGCCTTGTTGTGTTACCATCTTGCGGCCCTATTATTAAGGAAAAGGAAATTGATGTGACGGTTTCGTTTTTCTTCCAAGTCTCAAAATCCAGTCCTAATTCTTCACTGAATCTCTGCACACCGACTCTAAACAATGGCAACTACCCTTTGAAACAAGTAGCTATGATATTAACAACAATTGCAAGACCCTGAAAAAACAAAGTCAATAGTAACTCAATAGTAACTCATATTGCGTGTATGCACAGTATACAACTCAGATATTAACGCGCCACATCTGTTTGACTCAGCGGAATGCAAGCCTAATTCTTCTTTCATTGTTTCACATCATTAACTTCAACTTCTCCTTGTAATAGATGCTGAAAGGCCGCTTTATTACAAGAATAGATATGTTTTATCACAAGGTTGTTACCAAAACTGTGAAAAAGAAGAAAACAAAAAATGTGTAGATATGAATATAGACAAGAAGATAAAATAGAAATCAGATGTAGGAAAGATGAAATTGAAGACATTAATCATCTTTTGGTCTGCATAGATGGATATGTAATATCTGTAGACCTGTTCATAATCTCTCTCTCTCTCTCTCTCTCTCTCTCTCTCTCTCTCTCTCTCTCTCTCTCTCTCTCTCTCTCTCTCTCTCTCTCTCTCTCTCTCTCTCTCTCTCTTTCTCTCTCACTCTCTCTCTCTCTCTCCTCACTCTCTCTCTCATACAGACATTCAGCTTAATCATAATCTTGTTATGAATAATGAGAATCTGATTAACCTAGCATTTTTCCTGCTCCGAGTTGTTTGTGTTTTGTTGATGTTTTCCTTCGCATATTTGCTTTCCAGAGTACAGTATGATTACCACATGATGAAACTTCTGCACAATATTTTCAGGCGTACTTAAACTTTTCATTGCGAACACCATTAGTCCTTTACTCACCTTAATTCCAAATATAGAACATGTTTGATAGTTACTTTAGCACTCTGCGACAAGATTTTCGAAGTTTTTTTTTTTTTTTTTTACAAATCCCTGTATTTAATCATTCAAGAGAGCCAGCATAAACAAAGCTTTGAATATTCAATCATCGAACTCTTTTGTTCCAACACGCCGAGTGAATACTGAATGCTGAATGAATGTTCCACAGGTGGATTCATCTAGTGGAAAGGCATCTTCCGAAGTCGCAAGTTAAAGGTATTTAGATGAAATCAGGGAACTTTTGGTTGCAAGTTTTTTTTTTCTGTGCAAATGGGCCCTGCATAGCTCTCTGAAGGATAGTTGGTTTGCAAAGCCTTAAAACAGTACACTCCATGGTTGTTATGGTTAGTCAACAATATTTTTTTTATTGGTTGTAGTAGTTTTCTTCTTTCTTTCTTTCTTTTTTGTATTTGAAGTGATGGCCTAGCTGAAAAGGTTAACAAGCATCAAATTTCGCGCCAATTTCATGTCTTGATTCGCTTGATAGTAATGGTTATTGTCGAAGTTAGTACTTTTCGTGGCGGCCGAACGCCAGCACTGACGTTGGCGGTCCCTGGCGTTGCCTTGTCTTTAGAGTAAGGATTCGAGTCGCTCGTGAGCGCCAGACCGCGACCGCCGCCGTCCGAATGTTCTCAAAGCACGGCCCTTAGTGTCTCTTGTGTTTTGACTGGAGAGAAAGAGTGAGAAATAACGAGTGATCAAGAGAGAGAGAGGGGAAGGGTAAAAGAGAGAGGGAGAGGGAGATAGAAAAAGATAGGGACAGACATAGAAAGAGAGAGTGAGAGTTAGAGAAAGTGAGGGAGAATATGAAAGGAAAGGGGAGAGAGATTATATAAGTGAGTCATCGATATTGACAACAGCTACACAATAATTTCTACACAATTTTATTTTTTTTTTTTTTTTTATCCCAGGTATCAGGATTCGATGGCAACGGCAAAGTGGCAAGCATTATTGGCCAGTCAGTCAGGGACGCGATTGCTGGTGAGAATAACGACTAACTAAACTATTGCGTTGTTATCTTAGGAAATTGATGTAACGATTTCGTTTTCTTTCAAGTATCAAAATCCAATTCTACTTCAGAGAATCTTTTCCCTTGCCTGTAAACAGTGGCAACTATTCTTTGAATCGATTGCAAGAGCCTGACAAACGAAGGTGCCAACGGGACCTGACAGGAGGCAAGTCGTTAGTAACACTTCACCTAACCCGATCGAAGAGTAAGTATACAACTCA